TTGCTCGGCTGGTGTTTGCCCCCGAAAACAGCCGCGGCCACTTCTGGAAATGGCTGCAGCGATTGGCTGCAGCAATCAGCCCTTGCAGGATTGCCCAGGGTGGACACCCCCCCCCGGGTCCACAGGATGGCCCATGAGGGACCTGACCCCCGGTCAGCAGGACTGGTCGCATGGGGGGCACATGCCCCCCCCCGACTAAGGCAGCACCAGTCGCTCATGCAAGAAGGATTTCTGGCTATAATTCCAGCCCAAAATCCGGTCCCTTATTTGGGTCCATATACTTAGCATAGTGGCTGGGGTACTGTCAGTTGGCAGCCTGGCATGGCCAAACCATGCCTTTATTAGGTTTAGATTAGCTTTGAAAAAGGAACTGGGAATAAGGAACCAACATCAGCCTCATCTCCCCTGTCAGGGTTAGGATAGAATCCAGGTGTCCTGGCTCCCAGTTTCAAAGTTCTGCCTCCCTCCTTCCTCACACCAAGCCTGGCAGGGTAAGGACCTGGGGGAATCCTTGTCCCAGCAGATCCTTTATCCCTCCCCCACCCCTGGGTGTCAGTCACCTGAGGCCTGGGGAGGATGTGAGGGAAGTTATGGAAACGGGAGGCTCCTCCCTAGTTTGCTCCTGCGGCGATATGGCTGAGGGCAGGCAAAACCTGGGGGCATCTGAACCCCAAGCCTCTGGGCTTGGGCCTGCACATAGGATGCTTGCCAAATAACTTTGGAAATATCTGAAGCTGTTGGTGGAGGTGGAGGATGTTTGCAGGTTGTAGGACCACTTATGGTTCTGAACTAACTCTCAGATTTGGACTTGATTTGGCTTGGAACATGACAAATTTCATTTAAAAAAAAAGGGATGTGGAAGAAGGGCCAGAAAGCAACTTGACCAGAACCCAGGTGTGCTTCCACCCCGGATACTGCTTGCCTCCCAGTAACTATTTCCTTGCCAGAGGGGAGAAGCAATCTGTCCCCTGAGCTCCTGGGTTCTATCTCAGCTCTGGGAGGGGAGTGAGATCTGGTGATTTAAAGCAGGGGGTGCTGGGAGCCCAGATGACTGAGTTCTCTCCCAGCTTTGGGAGAAGAGTGGGGGCTGGTGGGTTAGAGCAGTGGAGCAATGTCCAGCCCCATGCATTGCCAGTGTGTACTCTGAATAACCCTCAGCTACTACCTCTTCTGTGATTTGGCCTGAACTTGTTCCCCAGCACCAGCTGCTGCCAGCTCTGACAGACCCTCACCAGGCTCAGGGTGCCTCTGGGGTACACAGGGGGCAAAGCAGCCAGGAACCTGGGCATGGAACCTCTCACCTGTCTGGCAGGAGACAGCTGATACCTGCAGCTGGTACTGAAGCCATGAGCACAGTCAGGGGGAGCCCAGGGTGGAGCTGGTACGGGGCTGTAGGTTGGGAGCAAGGGGCACCAGTAGCCCAGATTGTGGCTGCAGATCTGAAGGGGGGATACCAGCAGTGCCAGGATGGGAGAGGGGGCCTGTTGCTCTCACTGGTCTACCCATGACCTATCCCCTGTGGTTGGTGCTTGGCTGAAGGGGCTGATCTGGGGATCAGGTTTAGGCCTTGTGGTAGAACCAGACTCCAGATTCATCCACACACCCTCTCCTCACCCTGGGTCCAGGCTCTTGTTTCCTATCACCCCCATTTCCCTCTTCCATCTTCTCTCCATTACCCTATTTCCTCCCCACAGACTGGGACCTCACTGCATCTGTCATACAGCATCATGAACTTCCTGCTCTCCCGCATCTCTGGCAAAGTCCATTACCTGTTGCTGATCATCACCACCACCTCCACCATCATTCACTTCAACGCCCGCACCAGCAGCCCAAAGCATCAGTTCCTGTCCCCCAACACCACCACCCAGCTGCTCCTCACAGCCACCCCTACCCCAAACGAGGGTATATGGACGGTCAACTCCATTGGGCGCCTGGGGAACCAGATGGGGGAGTATGCCACCCTCTATGCTCTGGCCAAAATGAATGGGCGCCAGGCCTGCATCCTCCCAGAGATGCACCAACATCTGGCACCCCTTTTCCGCATCACCCTGCCCGTGCTCCCTACAGACGTGGTCCAAAAGGTCCCGTGGAGGAACTATTGGCTCCACGACTGGATGTCAGAAGAGTACAGGCACATCCCGGACAAGTATGTGCGGCTCACAGGCTACCCATGCTCCTGGACCTTCTACCACCACCTCCGGGATGAGATCCTACAGGAGTTCTCCTTTCATGACCACGTGCGGGACGAGGCCAACCAGTATCTAGCCAGGCTGCGTGGCCAGCGCCGCAATGTGACCTACGTGGGCATCCATGTGCGCAGGGGGGACTACGTCCATGTGATGCCCCAAGTGTGGAAGGGGGTGGTGGCTGACAGGGCTTACCTAGAGAAGGCCATGGGCTACTTCCGGGCCAAGTATGAGGAGCCGGTCTTCGTGGTGACCAGCAATGGGATGGACTGGTGCCGGAAAAACATCGATGCTTCAAGGGGGGATGTGCACTTCTCTGGGGACGGGAGGGAGTCATCCCCAGGCAGGGATTTCGCATTGCTGGCCCATTGCAACCACACAATCATGACCATTGGGACCTTTGGCATCTGGGCTGCCTACCTGGCCAGAGGGGAGACCATCTACTTGGCCAACTACACCCTGCCTGACTCCCCATTCCTCAAAATCTTCAAGCCCTCAGCCGCCTTCCTGCCTGAGTGGATCGGGATCAATGCAGAACTCTCCCCCCTGATGAAGGGCCACTAGGACACACCTTATAGACCTGGCAAGGCCAAGGGCACTGGCTGTTCTTGACAGGATTTGGGGCTGGAGTGGCCTGCATGGGTGGCCTGCATGGGGTAGAGGATGTTCCATGTTATCAGCCTCTTGGGAGCGCCCATAGCAGCTTGCTCTCAGGCCTTGGGCACCCAAGGGTGAGGCTGGGCTAACAGGGACACAGGCCAAGTGAAGCAGACACATGGGCTCTCAAAACCTGGGGAGAGAGATGCCAGGGAAGGAACCAGCCACTACCCAAGAGGCTGGGTGAGGGCTCAGTCGCTCGTCTCCTGGTACTACATAAACAAGGCAGATGCCAGCACAAGAGTCTCCAGAGGCTTTCTGGCTGCTTGGAGAAGCTGGGGAAGGGTTTTTTTAGCTGTGAAGACCTGGTGAAACCCAACTTTGCCCCCACCATGGGCTTCACATGTGCCCCTGTGACAAGGGGTGGTGGTGGTGACATGGGGTCCCAATGGGCCAAGCTCTCGCCTCCATTAGATGGGAGCGATCAGGGGTGTGGGGAGACCTTGTTCTACCCATGCCAGATCTGGGAATCACCATAGACAGTCTACTTAAAACATCAACTCAGTGCTCTGCAGCTATCAAAAAAGCAAACAAAAGGCTTGGGATTATTAAGGGGATTGGAAAACAAAATTGAAAGCATCATCAGGCCCCTTTATAAAGCCACATGCGTCCCACCTTAAATATTGTGCCCAGTTCTGGTCCCTGCACCTAAAAAACGATCTAGAAGAGCTAGAGAAGGTCCAGAGAAGGGCAACAAGGATGATGGGTGGTATGGAGGGGCTCCCATCTGAGACAAGGCTAAAGAGGCCAAGCCTATTTGGCTTAGAAAAAGAGATGCTTGAGGAGGGATATGGGAAGAGTTTACAAGTTACTAAATGGTGAAGAGAAAGTAAACAGATTTGTTATTTACTCATCAGACATGTCACAGAATGAAGTTACTGGGCTGCAAGTTTAAAACTAGCACAGGGAAGTTCTTTTCCAAACTTTACTCAGGTTTGGAACTTATTGCCACCAGAGGCTGTGGAAGCTGACAGCTCAGCCAGAATCAAAAAAAGGACTGGACGAACCTGTGGAGGAAAGGGGAAGGGGTAGCTATTGAGCACTGAAGTAAGGGGCACGACCTCTGAATCAGAACCTCCTGGACCTGAAGTGCTGGAGGCTGCAAGCGAGAGGAAGTGGGAAAAACCCTGGTCATGCCCTGGTCACCCTGTTTCAGCATCTGCTCTCTGCCACTGTGCAACAGGAGACCTAGCACGATGGATCTATGGTCTGACCCACTAAATGGCAGCTCTTATGTTCACCAAAGAGCTGGGTAATAACCAAGGCCACACAGGCTCTTGAGACACCCCCAGGACAGAGGTTGGGGGCAGGTGTCTGTATGCTCTGTGGATGGAAGGCTTCAGTTCCATATCACTAAGGTGGGGTCCACAATGCCCAGGACACAGGAGGATCCTGGTTGATTCACTCCCGGGACAGGAAGCCCATCACAAGCTGTCTGCTCTCCCCCTACTCAGGCCCCTGGGCTGTGGGGTGAATGACCAGAGGCTGGGGGCTTTCAGATTAAAGCTGGGACAGGACACCTTGATTCTGTTCCATCTCTGGGAGAGGAGAGGGGAGTCCAGTGAGTTACAGCAAGGATCTGGAATTCAGAACAGCCAGGGATACAGGTTGGGAGTGGGTTTCAGGCACATTAAGCCAGTCTGGGATGGCAAGGGTTGAGGATAAACTGGCAGACAGAGTGATGGACACAGGAGCCAGCAGAGGCAATAGGCCCCAGCTAGGAGGGAGCAGGCCAAAGATAATGGCTTGATGAAGGGTGGAGGGACTTTCTCCTACCTACCTCCAGGATACAGGGCTGGATTTAAGGCATGATGGGGAAAGGGGACAGATAGGGGTCCCCGAGGCGATTGGGAGGCAGGGATACCATGCAGAAGCCTTCAGTGGAGTCTCTGGCACCCTCAGGGGTGTGTGAAGGCCTTAGAAACAGCACCACCTCCTCCCGCGAGGTAAGTACATGTGAAACCCATTGTACAGACATGGAAACTGAGGCACAAGAAGCCACTCAGCCCAGGCCAGAGGCAGGGAAAGGACTGAGGTATGCTGGGATCCTAGCTCTCCTACCACAGTACAACCCCACTCCCCTCTCAGGACTGGGGAGAAAACCCAGGTGACCAGGACCCAGCGCCCACACCACAAATCTGCTGCCCTTGTAACCCAGAGTAACGGGATGTGCCCTAGGAGGGCTGCAATGCAGGTAAGACCAAATAGGAAGGCAGATCAGAGCCCCTCTTCTGCAATGAGGGAGACTTACTAGAAGGGCTGGCGTCGGCTCAGCAGGGTGGATAGGGTCATTGCAGGGGTGAGCGGTTCTGCTGGGCATCTTGTGGGGCCGGCCTGCCCCACCGCAGTCCACTTCCAGGCCCAGGACAGAACACCCTGCATGGGTCCTGACACACAGCATGGCTGCTCTAACCCACCAGCCTTATACCACCCGCCCCGCCCCCCCACCAGCTCCAACCCACTCAGTGCTCCCAGCTCAAAAGCAACCCAGCTTCTCAGTTAAAAAAAAAAGGCTTTATTCCAATGTGAGACACTCAGAAGGGCTTCAGAGTCTGTCTGTCCTCATCCCTCCCTTCTCCCCCCACCCTGAAATCACAGTTTCTGGGGCTCTGACCCCCCCCCTCCCCAGAGCTGGGCGCATTCTTCACCCACAAGC